GGGTCACTGCTCCTTCCCCTGGGTCCTGATGCTCACACTACTTTGTGTGTGCCCTCCAAGAGTGGAGCCTCTGTTCCCCCGAGTCCTGTCGAAGTCCTGCAATCAAATCCTGCTAGCCTTCAAAGTCTGATTCTCTAGGAATTCTTCTCCCATTTCCAGACCCCCAGGTTGGGAAGCCTGACATGGGGCTCAGAGCCTTCACTCCAGTTGGTGGACTTCTGTGGTATTAAGTGTTCTCCAGTTTGTCAGTCACCCACCCAGAAGTTTTATTTTGATTGTGCCCCTCTTACCATCTCATTGTGGCTTCTCCTTTGTCTTTGGATGTGGGGTATCTTTTTTGGTGAGTTCCAGTGTCTTCCTGTCGATGATTGTTCAGCAGTTAGTTGTGATTCTGGTGCTCCCACAAGAGGGAGTGAGTGCATGTCCTTCTACTCTTCCATCTTGAACCAATTCCCCAATCTTTTATTCTTTAAGTATTTGTTTCCCTGGCATATAGAATTCATATTGCTTTATAGTAGGTCTCATAAAATAATAAACATTAATTCATAGATAATTAGCAAAAGGAAAAGAAATGGTATGAATTGTTTAAATAGTTTAAGAAAATCCTAGGCAAAATAAAGTTCATACAAAGCATGAAACAAATTATGTTGCTAGTAACTGACCAACTATTCTGAAATAATTTCCAAATAATGCTTCAGCAAATGTTCATACATGGCATGTTTAGAGACCACCTTCTTTATTATTTTAGCCATTTTTTAAAATTAAGATAATTGAAATATATCATTGTATTAGTTTTAGGTGTACAATGATTTGATATATGTACATATTGCAAAATAACCACTACAATAAGTTTGGTTAACATCTATCACCATACATAGTTGAAATTTTTTTTGTTATGATAAGAACTTTTCAGATCTACTCTCTTAGTAACTTTCCATATACAATACAGCATTGTTAACTGTAGTCACCATGCTGTACATTACATCCCCAGGAGTAATTTATCTTATAACTGTATATTTGTACCCTCTGACCACCTTCACCTTCAAAGTCATCTGTAAAGAACTGATTTTAACAAAGTGAACACATTTTGCTTACAGAGACCATTACTCTTATCAGAAAGATGTTTTCGTTTTTAAGTTAGAAAATGACATTCTGCATATGCACAAAGTAAATATGTGCAAAGAATTAAGAACAGGTAGAGCACTGAGTTGAAGGGAAAGGTAACATAAATGGTTGAACATAAAGTACGAAAGTAAATAATTAGTTTTTATTTTAGTGTGTTCGAAAATTTTCCCCATCCTAAATAACATCAGTAAAAGCAACTCAAAGAACTGAAAGCAATGATATTAAGTCAGTGTAATGTAGGTTAGGCTTTCTAGTTGATAAGTGTCTCTAATGGCAACTGTGTTTTAATAAATAGGGCTAATTCCTGAGAATCAAATGATGCTCTTGAAATTTACATTATTAAATCTGTAGCAAGGTGAATAGCATCAAGTCAAACCTTTGTAAACCCAAAGGAATGTGGAGTTTTCTGACACAGTATTTCCAAGATTAATTAAACAGTAAGTCATTGCATATCAAAATAAATCTGTTGAAAAAATAATAATGCATGTAAAATTACATTTTAACCTGATCATGTCACCTAAATTCTCTAAGGATAAAATTTTTGGAATAGCAAATAATTGAACATCTTTGCTCATTTAACACACACTTTTTTCATTAGATATACTATACACCACATATGTGCTCTTCCCAGCTAATTTAATGTTATTTCCAGAAACTCTTTGAATAGAGATCACTAAGCTATTTTTGCAACATGAGTAAAGCACTCTAAAAGGTGAATTAAATAACACAAATTATTTCTATATCACTGCACTCAGATGTTTTTAAACTGTTGAAAGCAAAGGAAAAGTTTGAGAAGAGAGCATCACTGTTTACTTTGTACAGGATGAGTAAGTGTAGATAATCCTCTTTCTAAATTATATATATAATCGATCTGCTCAATGCTGAAAGCATTCAGCAGTTTCCCCCACTATATCTGGAGCTCAACACAGAAACTCTTTCATCACTTTGAACTTTTCTTTAAATGGCTCTCAATCATATTCCAAGTCCAAATCACATATTCATGTCTTTTTCCTAAATTACTATGACCACAAAACATTACCAATATCTCGAGTGTGTGCTTGAAATGCAGTTAATGCCTTTTTAAAAATTAGGACAAAGGGCTTCCCTGGTGGCGCAGTAATGAGAGTCCGCCTGCCAATGCAGGGGACACGGGTTTGTGCCCCGGTCCGAGAAGATCCCACATGCCACGGAGCGGCTGGGCCCGTGAGCCATGGCCGCTGAGCCTGCGTGTCCAGAGCCTGTGCTCCGCAACGGGAGAGGCCACAACAGTGAGAGGCCCGCGTACCGCAAAAAAAAAAAAAAAATTAGGACAAAGTATGCAAAACTTGAATGCCTTCTTCTTCAACTGGAAACATCTGGGGACATTTATGTGGAGATAGTATTTCTCTTACTTCTTTAGAGCAATTTTGGAAATGGACTTCACAAGTGGAGATAAAACAAATTGGATTAGATTTGACTATCTCTATGTAGTGTGACCAACTGTCCCAGTTTGCTCAGGACTAAGGGATTTCCAGAGACATGAGACTTTTAATATTAAAACTAAGAAAGTCCCAGGCAAAACAAGAGTCTGTCAACTCTTTCTCCAAGTTTCTATTCACCTTTAACATGGTTTACATCTACAAATATAGCTATGACCTCTTTTTTTCACTAATAAAATAACAATAACTGTCCAGAACCATAAAGTCTGCTGACTTTCCTGCATCCTTATCTAAACATTCAACAAAAGAGAAAAAGAATAAAGAGAGCAAAATCCCCAGGTAATTTGAAGTCATCTGAAATTCGGCCTCTGAGGAGGAAAGAAAGTTATGTATAAAACCAAGACTACCTCAAAAGAGAGATTTACCCTCCTGAATTTTTCCTCCTGCCCCATCTGTATTTGGAATGTTCCCCTATTCCTCAACCTGTGGCAGTATCTCCCTGTGAAAGAAAGCTTAACACAAACCAACTGACTACATCTACAAACATCTCGTCTAAACTGAAATTGGCTCTCCTAGTGGGACTAAAAATTTAGGAAATGGTATGTGCATGCACTGGTCTTCTGTTTCAAGCAATCTCAGAAGCAGATTTACTTTCCATGAAGTCAGAATGTCGGCTTTGTCCTTGATGAACTCTGGCTTTAAAACTCCCATGGACACAAGGTACATCACAATATCTTCTAAACAGTGATTACATTGATTTTTATGTAAAATACAGATGACAAAACTTTTCAGAGGATGGCATCATCACCAAAACTGTATTTGAGAGCTATTTGAAAATTGTTCTTGTGTTCCTTGACTTCTTCTAGTCATTACTTCCAAAGCACTGATATGGGAGTTGTCATTTAACATGCTACAAAACCTGTTGCATTTATAAAATCTAATATTTTCCTTCAGTATCTCTATCCCCTCCCCAGTTTTCTTAATGAGTATCTCCTTTAACCATTTAAAATTGCCAAGCTTATCCCACACTGTTCCATATAATTGATATAATTTCCTACATATCAATCAACATCCTCCATGTCAATGTTCTCATTAGAATCCCTTCATAATGAGCATGCCACACCCATATCTAGATAATTATACATCTAGATAACTACTTCAGATTCGGAAGTTAAAAAGTCATCAGAATAAATCTGTATGTATAGCTCTGTTGTCATTTTAAAAATTCAACTCAAGTAAACAAAAGACATCTATACTGTACAAATTTAGGAAAATCATTTTGGATCATCTCTGGTTTTTGTCTGTTACAATGTCATTTATTCCAAAAAAAGTATCACTTTAATCACTTATTTACTCATTCTTTAACTAACTAATGAGTGCCCATTTCATACCAGATACTGTGTTTAGGCAGCAGAGATCATGTATTCTTAGCACTTGTAAGAATTTAAGATAAAATGTTATACGTAAGGAAAAAAACAAAGTCTTAGGATCTTTAAGTCACAATGAACTTAACTGGCGAGTTCTTGTTAAAGGAAATTTATAATAGCCTATATATGTGTCCTGGTCAAGTTTTTTCCACCAAGTAGGCCTGAATTCCCTACCTGTGAATAGAGATACTTCTAGCCATGAGATATGTTCCAATATACTGGATGAGTATAAATAGGGGACCATATAATTCATCAACTAAACCAAGATACTCCTAAGAATGAAAGAGGTACTTTTAGTAATTACTTCAAAACAGCAGGACTTAATCCAGCAATGTCCCAGACAGTAGGTATATGTGTGTATATATGTATATGGGTGCCTATATACGTGTATGTATATAGGACATAGAGTGCTACCACTAACACAGAACCGGTGTTCTTTACTGGCACTAGGATTCTATTCTAACGATACTGGCACCACCATTGCTCAAAGAGATATTAACATCAGCTCAAAAGCTCTTATAGCTACTGTGATCTTACACCCCAAATTTGCTAAAGCAGATCTATTAGTAATAGGTTATCCTTTTATTGCCATAATACTTTTATAACTTAAAATATCATGTGTCCCAATTTGATTTGGCAAATGCAGTAGTAGTAAAATTAGTATCCCCTCCTTCTGTGCAGAAATAAGATAAGGTTTAAAAATTCAGATTCAAAGGGCAAAAGATCAATTCTACTAAGATCTTCCCTGTCACTAGGGGGCAGAAGCCATTCATGTGATGAAGTAAATATTCAAGCAATTTCTGTAAGTGGCTTGTTTCAAAGATTTTAGATTTTTTAGAAAACTGTCCAAGTAAGAGAATGGGATACTTGCTATATACATCTATTTAAACTAAATTTCAATGAAATATTTTTGGCTTAAATATAGACAATTTGCTTACATCTAAAGTTTGTGAAAACATTTTAATTAAATGTGAAAAAATATTATGTTAAACATTTTAGGAAATACAAAGGACCCGTTAAGTTTACTTACAATTGACATTAGAGTTAGTACGTAGTGCTGCAAATTCTGTCCATGATGATGAACCATTTTAGCATCAGCTGTAACCATAATTTCCACGTATCTTGGATATGATAAAAAACGTTTTTTCCTGGAATGTAATTGACTTCTTTCATCTTTCAATGATATATTTTTTGAAGAGTCTCCTAAAACTATTTCCTCCTTTATATTAAGATCTTCATTCATGTCGCTGTAGTTATGAAAGGGTAAAGTGGTTTTCTTTATTTGACTTTCTGGTGGGGGAAGAATACAATAATGTGGAGTCATTAAGTTGGAGGTGACTCAAAATACTGCACAGAATAGAATAACCAAAAATATTGAATACTTACACACCTGCTTCCAATATGAAATAAAAGGACAAAAAGAAATTATTTTAAAGTGTTATACCATATTATCATAAGCATTACTACTCGTAATATAATGTTCACATTTTCATAGACTGCACTAACAAAACTGTATGTAAGTCTTATTTTAACAGCTATGACTATTCAAAACATATATTAACCACGGGGCAGAAAATAAAAACAAATCAAGGAGAACTTGTGTTTTTTTCAGTAGGTAAATTGGGTCCTCAAGCCACTGATTGCATCTAATCTCATTACAGAGAAATATTTTGTAGGATGAAACTTCATAAAATACAGAAAAGAAACATATTTTTTGTTATACAGCATGTGAAGAGCACCAACAGAAAATGAACCCATATAACAATAGATGGCTTTTCAAACCCAGGAAGTCAAAGGTTGATATAAATTGTATAATACTTGATTATATGAAATACCTGATTATTTTGATTACATTTGTTTATATATAAATACAGTGTTAAAACTGCTGAAACCTTAGGGATTATTATGGCAACTACTTGAAGCCCTATGCATTTATAAAAGTCACTTCTAAATTCTTATTAGTGCTAATGGAAAAAAATTCATAGGCAGCATAAGTGTTTGTCCTCTTTCTTTCTCTTTAAATTTATTCCTCTACTCTCTTTCTTATTTTTCTCTTATAATTGTTTAGTGAAACTATTTAGAACAGAAAAGTGGACCAAAGACATCAGGTAAGAAGAAATAAAAGGTCCTGAATAGCTCATAAGGCAAATCATCAATACCACAACAATTAAGATTTAGTTGTACTATAAGAATTAGACAGAATATAAAACTATATTACAGAAATAATTCATTTCACTTAAAATTAGCAGCAATCCTATGGTTGTAAAAAAAGAAAAAGTCCTTGAACAATGTTTCCACAGATGAACTACTTTTTCTAATTCTTAAAACCATCCTGCCTTTTAATGTTACTATGCTCTTAAGTTTTAAAATTTATCTCAGTGGGAGATTGTGGGAATCTGGCAAACTGAATATACATTCCTAAAACTTTGTCCTGCCATATTTTTCCTAGGGTGATTCAACCACCAAAATATCCATGACTAATTATTAGACCCTGGAGAAGATCCCAGATATATCTGATGAATACAAATCTCAGATTTATCAGAAAGAAGCTAAATATTCACATTTTGATTTATTTTTTCATCCACTTCATTCATTCAAAATAAACTTTCATTGACTACCTACTCTATGTCAGCAAACATTTAGAAACTGAGGAGCAAACAGCATATAATAAGGCTTACACTCTCGTGGGAAGAGAAAAAAATAAATGAACACATGTTGAAGCACTTAAAGTTATCTCAAATTTGTTCTTAAATAGCAATTCAACCAAAAGACAAAAAAGTGACTCAACCTTACCAAAACGGCTAAAACTTAAAAGACTGATAATACCACATGTTGGTACAGCCACTTTGGAAAACTATCTGGCAATTTCTAAGTTAAGTTACACATGTACCCCACGGCCCTGCAATTACAATCCTAGATACATACCTAAGAGAGGGAAAATATATGTCCACAAAACACTTGTATAAGAATGTCCATAGGGGCTTCCCTGGTGGCACAGTGGTTGGGAGTCCGCCTGCCGATGCAGGGGACACAGGTTCGTGCCCCGGTCTGGGAGGATCCCACATGCCACGGAGCGGCTGGGCCCGTGGGCCATGGCTACTGGGCCTGCACATCCAGAGCCTGTGCTCCACAACAGGAGAGGCCACAACAGTGAGAGGCCCGCGTACCGCAAAAATAAAAAAAAAAAATTTTTTAAAGAATGTCCATAGCATGACCAGCATAGAGACAAATGGAACAGAATAAAGAACCAAGAAGTAAACCCTCACATATATGGTCAAATGATCTTTGACAAGGGTGCCAAGGACACTCCATGGGGAAAGAACAGGCTCCTCAACGAATGGTGTTGGGAAAACTAGATATCTCCATGTAGAAGAATGAAACTGGATCTTATCTTACAACATATATAAAAATTAACTCAAGGGCTTCCCTGGTGGCACAGTGGTTGAGAGTCCGCCTGCCGATGCAGGGGACACGGGTTTGTGCCCCGGTCCGGGAAGATCTCACATGCCACGGAGCGGCTGGGCCCGTGAGCCATGGCCGCTGAGCCTGTGCGTCTGGAGCCTGTGCTCCTCAACGGGAGAGGCCACAACAGTGAGAGCCCCGTGTATAGCAAAAAAAAAAAATAATAATAACTCAAAATGGATTAAGATCTAAAAGAAAGACCTAAAACTTTGAAACTCCTAAAAGAAAACAGAGGAAAAGCTTCATGACAGTGGGTTTGGCAATGATGATTTGGATGTGACACCAAAGCACAGGCAATAAATGCAAAAAATAGACAAATATGACTACAAACTTAAAAATGTATGTGCATTAAAGAACACAATCCACAGAGTGAAAATGCAACCTATTGAATGGGAGAAGATATTTGCAAATCATATCTGATAAGGAGTTATGCAGGTAATATACAGAATATATATATATATATATATATAAAAACTCTTACGACTCAATAAAAATAACCTGATTTCTTAAATGGCAAAAGGACTTGAATAGACATTTTACCAAAGAGAATATAAAAATGGACATCAAGCATATAAAAAAAGATGCTCAACATCACTTATCATTAGAGAAATGCAAATCAAAACTACAAACAGGAGGCTTCCCTGGTGGCGCAGTGTCTGAGAGTCCGCCTGCCGATGCAGGGGACACAGGTTCGTGCCCGTGTCCGGGAAGATCCCACATGCCGCGGAGCGGCTGGGCCCGTGAGCCATGGCCGCTGAGCCTGCGCGTCCGGAGCCTGTGCTCCGCAACGGGAGAGGCCACAACAGTGAGAGGCTCCCCGACCGCACAAAAAAAAAAAAAAAACTACAAACAGATATCACTTCACACCCATTAGGATGGCAACTATTAAAAAAAAACAGAAAATAAGTGGCAGTGAGTATACGGAGAAATTGGAACCTTTGTGAACTGTTGGTAAGATTATAAAATGGTGCAATCGCTATGGGTAACAGTATAAAAGTACTTTAAAAATTTACATATAGAACTACCATATGATCCAGCAATTCTACATCTCAGTATATATCCAAACAAATTAAAAACAGGGTCTTGAAGTAATAGTTGCACATCCATGTTCATTGTAGCATTATTCACAACAGCCAAAGGGTGTAAGCAACCCAAATATCTACTGATAGATAAATGTATAAATGAAATGTGGTACATGTATAAAATGGATTATTCAGCCTTAAAAAAGGAAATTATTTCATGCTCTGACATGGATGAACCTTGAGGATAATATGCTAACTAAAAATGAGCCAGCCACATAAATATAAATCCTGTATGATTCCACTTCATAGAAACAAAGTTGAATGGTTAGTTACCAGGGCCTGTCAATATCTCACTACCTGAGATAGCTCCCAAAGTCTGTCCAGCCTGGGTGCTAAGAAATCAAACATCTCACTGGCTAATAGTAAGTTAAACAACACATTTGATGAAGCACTATGTCTTGAAGGAGTCAGACTGATAGTAAGTTACAATAGGTGGTTCTTTGCAGGCTGAAATAATGAAAGAAACAAATAGAATTCCAAACTGGAATGAAAACACTGGATATAGTAATATAGCGCAGAAAAAAAAAGTCTCTAGAAGAAAAGAATATATAAATTTAAATTCAATTCTGGAGTAATTAATCAATTGAAAAAGGAAAAAATAGCAAATATCAGGATCCTATAAACATTAAGAAGACATTATAAACAACTTGATGCAAAAAACTTCAGAAATGTTTTCTAGAACATTTCTGAAAAAAAATACATCAAAACTGACCCATAAAGAATTAGAAAGCCTAATAGCCACATAACTTTAAAATAATTGAACTCTAATCAAAATCCAGTCTCAAAGGGCTTCACCAGTAAATTATGATTAAACATTTAAAGAAGAAATAGCTCAACTTTCTCAAATACTTTTCTAAGAATTAAAAAAAAGAAGAGGGAGAAAGATCCCAAACATGTTTTATGAGGATTTTAAATGATGATATATCAGAATATCTTTAGGATCTGGTTTTTATTTTTAAAACAGGACTCTTTAGGACACAAAAAATACTAACCATAAAGACTATTCATTTGAGTAAGTTAAGACTTTGAATTTGTGTTTACCACTATGGGAGTAGGAGAAGGTATCTGCAATAAATATAAATAAAGGGCTTGAGGAGTCAAGATGGCAGTGTGGAAAGACGCAGAGTTCACATCTCCCCACAATTAGGGTGCCTGCCAGATGCTGGTAGGGGACCCCGACGTCCAAGGAGACAGGAAGAACCCCCAAGCAAACTGGTAGGACGTGGGGGCACTGAGCAGGGAGGAGAAGTGGAGGCCAGACAGAACTGGTGCCCCTGAGGGATTACTGAGAGGGGGAGGGGTTCCCACGCCTGGAGGGACCCTCAGGGGCTCAGCCTGGCGGGAACAGACCCAGCATCTCCCTTGCCCAATCAGCTGGGGAAGTCTTCCCAGCACTCGGGCCCGGTCCTACGCCCTCAGGTCCCCTCTGGCCTGGGTTGGTCCTGGGGGCATAGAAGGAAAGACAGGAGAGAACAGGAGAGGCAGGCAGGAGGGGCCCTCCAGGACCAGAGGAGCAGGAAAGGAGTGGAGGGTGTTTGCCCCACCGAATTGGGCATGGGGAGCCTGTTGAGTTCCCAGGCCAGTCCCCCACCCTCCAAAGCCCCCTCCAGGCCATGTGGGTCCTGAGAGCATAGGAGGGCAGCCAGGGAGATCAGGAGAGGCAGGTGGGAGGGATCCTCCAGGACAGGAGCAGGAGAGGAGCTGAGGGCATTTTCCCCACCCACTTGAGCCCAGGAAGCCTAC